ACAAAGTGTTGGAAAATAGTGAGTATAATATAAAGGGCAGATGGGAGCTAGATATTACGTAGGATTACATGAAAATATCCTAGGGACAAACTTTCCAGAGAGCAAGGACAAAGAATGACCTGAAGCCATGACACAAACAATCAAAGTGGCAATAAACTGAAAATAAAAAGCAATTGGAGCCAGGCAGTGGTGGCACAGGCCTTTAATCCCAGTACTTGAGAGGCAGAGGCAGGCAGATCTCTGTGAGTTGGAGGCCAGCCAAGAGCTAGTTCCAGAACAGACCCCAAAGTCTGTCTTGAAAAAAATTAGAGGCTACCTCAAAAATATCCATGAGGCAGAGGGCAGTGGCCTTGGGAACTAAAATCTAAGACCTTGCAAGGCTGTGTAAATGATTTGAAGTAAGGATTTTTATATTTATTTGGTACACATAAAAATGTTTACTCATCTTTTTCTCAATAAAAAACTAAATATTCATTGAAATAAAAAAATGTTTACTCATTTACTCCTAATTAGAAGAAATATAATCATAGATCTATTCTGCCTTTTAGTTTTTCATTCTGTTACTGAAATTGCTAAATATTTCTACTAGATAGTGGGAATAAAGATAAACTTCATACTAAATGTGAATGTATTCCCCAAATACCTTTCAGAGAATCAAGCTTTTATAAATTCATTTTTATAAAAATATTTTAAATACAAAATACATCTCTAAACTCCAGCTTAAAAGTTCTAATAAATGTGTGGAATGTTTTTTCTATGAAAATAAAGATAAAATAAACATATACTGATTAAAACATGCTTAATCTCAAGATGACATAGCATCTAATCAGTTAAAAATCTTAAAAACTCCTTTGACCCCAGTAATTGCCAAACATTTAACAGTATTACTGAACAATATAAGGCAAAACATTTATAGATGAACTCAATTCTGAATATAAAGGTAAGTTAAGGTAAAAAAAAAAAAACAACCCACAAAACCCTAAGCTAAAGGCACAAGAGTTAATACAATGGCTTAATGGACAAAGTGTAAGCTTAGTTCTTTCCTGTTCTGAGATAAAGGTCTCAGTTAGTGAGAGAGCTGTTGTTTCATGAAGCACTTACATGCCCAAGGTCCTTCTGACATATTATTTCATCCCCACCCCATAATACTGTTATTTAGTCTAGAACTGAAGAGAAATGATCTTGAGTTCCAAATGGGAAGCAAGTTGGCCATCTTCAAGTATGCCTTAGAAGGGGTACTTACTATCTGATAGGACCTGATGCAATGAACCTGAGCCATGCACACACCTCTGTAACTCAGAAAGGAAGTCTGGATTACTATGGGATAGATAAGTAATCCCTGACAAAAAGGTCCTTGAAGCAATATAAAACGCTTTCATTAGGAAGCAGTTGTGATAAAAAGTCAGGATAGTGGTGTGACCTTCAAGCAAGGAGAAGATTTTGAAAAAGACGAGATTATAGCAATTTAAGTAGTAATGTTCATCTAGGCTGGGTGGCCAGTGAATTCCCAAGATCTATCTGCTTCTTCTACCTCCAATGTTATTGTTAGACACAAATAGCCTTACCTCTGACTTCTTTACCTAAATACAACAGATTCAAACTCAGCTGCTCAAGCCTGTTTTTTCCCCACTGAGCCATCTCTCAAGCCCCAAGTGCTACTATCTTGTAACTAAGAAACTGTGTTTATAGACAGCATTTGTGTTAATACTTGGCAATACTCTCAATGATTTTATCTCAATATCCTAATTTAATATGACTTACAACTTAGTTTTTAGAAAAAAAAAAAATAAAACAAATTACTGGCTTTGCTAGTTAAAAAACCCTAACGTTACAAAACTTTCAGATATACCTGTGCCTGAGAGTATAGGCCACAGCTTTTTGTTAGCATGCCATACATACACAAACCCATTCTTCTCTGATACCCAGAATTTATATATTGTATGGCAGCACATGACAGAAACACTTCTCTTGTGACCATATATAACAGCAAGTAAATTACAAATTCAATAGTCCAAGAGACATTAGGAAAGAGTTCATCTCCTTTGAAGATACTAAAGTATCCGGAACAAGGAAGAGTGCTGTATTAAAGCAAAGGGGTTAAAGGAGTTTGAATTTAGTAAGCAATTTAGTCACAAAGAATGGGGAAGGGAGGGTATTGGAAATCACTTCTTTTGTAGGCAATAGAAATTCCCTACAAAATATAAAGTTCTAGGGAATAATTTTATTACATTCATTTCACTTTTAAGTCTTAAGCTTTTAAAATAGGTAACATTTTTAAGACAATAAGACTCATAAAATTACTTACTCTTTGTACTCTTTCCCTCATTCTTAGAATCCATGAAATCACCTGAACGCATAGCACACATAATCTTCTGAGCAACAGTAGAGAGGGGTGTCTCACAGAGATCAAAACCTACACATGCCTCATAATTTTCCATTTTCATAAAGTCCTAAATACAAGATAAGTACCCATATATTAATTTTAAGACTTTAAAAGGACTTACATATATTTTCATTTAAAAGGTATTAATAACTACAGGAAACAGGTTTTGATTATCTAACACAAATAGGATGGAGAAAGAAGTGAGGCCTGTTGGTACAAACTGAATTAGGAAGCTGAGGCAGGAAGACATAGTTCAAGCCTGCCTAGGCTACAGAGCAAGTTCGAGGACAGCTGGGCAGATTAGTAAGACCCAGTCTCAAATATTTTTAAAGCTGTTTTATTTTTTCATTTTACATACCAATCTCAGTTCCCTCTTGCTTGGTATGTATAAACCCTAGACTTGATTCCCAGCGCTACAAATCAAACCAAAACCAACCAGAGGCTCCTTTGAGAAATAAACATATAAAAATAATTTCTAATTAACCAACTATGAGGTAAGCAGTTTAACTCCTCCTCAGTTCTGAAAGCTGGCTGCTATTTTCAAGCATATAACTCTGCAATACGGTAATTAAACCTGACCTCGGTCATCAAGGTAGACAAATAACCTGCCACTTTGGGACTGACAGTCTCTATTGGTCCCCTGGCTGAGTAGGTGAAGGTTTAGTGGATGGTACAGATTAATTATCTGCTTCCTAGCTAAATTATCTGGCACCCACTGGGAAAGCAGTTAACCGTTTCCCACATTATTTGAGAAAAGAATTTAAATGCCTTATCTCTGGACATTAAAATGAACAGCTGACTGTTAAATTGTTTTGGGAGGGGTTGTTTTGTTTTTGGGACAGGGTTTCTGTTTAACAGCTCTGGCTGTCCTAGAATTTTATTTGTAGACCAGGCTGGCCTTGAACTCAGAGATCCACCTGCCTCTGCCTCCCAAGTGCCGGGATTAGAGGAATGAGTCAGACTGGCCTTACAGTTAAATCTTATGATAAAATTTAATATTTTTTAAACTATATTAGGTTCACCTAACAAAAATAAATTTATGTAACATGATACAATAACTGACAGAAATGCATTTGCTTGATAGATTATAAAAATACAGTGCATTGCCACTTTCTATCTATAGTTATACCCTGAAAATATCCATAAAACTATGTGAACCATAAAACAAAGGTAAAGAATTTTTTTTTTTTTTTTTTGGTTTTTCGAGACAGGGTTTCTCTGTGGCTTTGGAGCCTGTCCTGGAACTAGCTCTGTAGACCAGGCTGGTCTCGAACTCACAGAGATCCACCTGCCTCTGCCTCCCGAGTGCTGGGATTAAAGGCGTGCGCCACCATCGCCCGGCTAAGAATATTCTTAGAGGTATTTCCTATAGCTGAACTTAAGAAAATATTTAGTATTTGACACAGACACATCATAAAATGAACTCTTTGGGAACATTTGATAAAATAACCGATAGGAAATTTCGTGTGGCGGTATACACTCATAATCTCAGCACAGTCAAGTCAGGATCATGAACTGAAGACCAATATAGGCGAAAAGATTTAAGACCTTACCTTAAAAACAAAACAAAATGAATCTAAAAAAAGAAAAAAATCCAACTAAAAAGCCACTTCAAATCTTAAATAATTGTCCAACATTTTCTAAGTGATTTAAATATATATCATAAATCCTTTAAGCAACCATTTGTACATAATTTTGAAACTTATATTTCAAATTTCATTATTTATGCTATAATCACAGTGGTTAAAGCTCTAGTACGGCCACCAGAACCCAGCCCCTAAAACAGAAATGCTCAAAATTTGTGGTACAAGCAGACACATTTAAACTTCCAAAGATTACAACAGAAAATTAGGGGAAAATACTTCAGCAGAATTTTACTTTAGTCAAACTCAAGACTTGGCTAGTGAATATACAATAGTATTACTTTACCGACAAAGGATAAAATCCCAAATCCCAATGAAACTGCACATAGTATGGAAATCTATGTACCTGCTAAGTATCAGGTATTGAGTGACTGGTAAAAAAGGTCAAGTATGCAGCATACATACACTAAACAAAGGTATAACACATCCTAGGTGGGAGGTTTCAGAGTCCATGACATACAACTTAAAAATTTACTTCTGAAAAAAAAACTTTACTCCTGTCATTTTTTTTAATTCAGTATTTTCAGATCACAGTTGACCTCAGATAACAGAAACCTTAAAAAACAAAACCCCAAATTCTACAAAATTTTGAAATACCCAACAGCAGAAAATGCCAATTTAAGGAAATTTAGTTATATAAAACATTTGTATAGCATGTTTTTTTCCTCCAAGTAAAAATTTGACAAGATAAAGTGGCACCAAGCAAACAGTGATGAGAAGCACTTGGTAGTATGCCTGATGTGAGTTCAAGGCCAGTCTGGTCAGCCAGTCAATGTTTATACAACCCTCAAAACCAATGTCACAAACTGAATATCCCTTAACTTAAATGAGTGGAACTCAAGTGCTTCAGATATTTTAATTTTTGTATACAATTACACATTTTAGAGATAGAAATGAAGTCGAAATGTGAAATTCATTCATATTTCAGGCAAAATTTTATACAAATAAGACTGAAGGTAGCTTTATAACTTAGTGTATGTATTTTATGACTGACAACCCATGTAAGATCAGGTGTAGAATTTTTCATTTGAGAAACATTCCAGTTGCTTAAAAATACAGGTTCAAATTTTGGAGTATTTAAAATTTTCATACTAGGGAAGTTCAACTTGACATTGAATCTATTCAAATAAAATGTTCTGTTGATCTTAAATTTACAACCCTAGTAGCACTGAGGCTGATGACGTGGGTTAATCTCTGCCACCAAGACTGACGACCTGATTTCCATTCCCAGAGCTCTTGTGATAGAAGAGTAACACAACTCCTACAAGACGCTCTCACCTCCACACATGTGACATGGTACACACTAATTACTGTACACGACTGCACATATACCCATCCCTCCCCACATACTAAGTAAATGTCAAAAGAAAAATTAGTAGTGCTTAGTAGAAATAGCATCCTGATAGTTAAAAATTAAAACACAGCAGGCATAGTAAAGATTCAGTTTTAGAAATCTTCAGTCTTTAATTTTAAGATCAGGTCTTAATCTTTGACTGGTTTTCTAAATTTTCCACAACATCTTTTAGATAGTCTGCATCTTTGAAAAAATATACATATAATTCTCTTTCCACTTGATACAATTTATTAGTTGCCAAAATTTTTCTTTTTGTCTTCACATCAGCAAGAATATCCGTAAGGAGATGATTTAGTTTATTCAACTTAGATTCAACTTGATGAACATGCTCCATTAACTCCTGAAAAGGGGAGAAAAAAAAGGTTTATTTCAAGAACTTTATCACTAACACCAACCAATTTAAAAGGAAATTCTAAAATTTAAAAGGAAATTCTATTCAATGAAAAACTTCTCATAATCACAATAAAAAGCCCTGTTAGGCTGGAGTGATGACACAGACTCTTAATATAAACACCTGGGCGACAGAGGCAGGACGATCTCTTAGTTCTAGGATAGCCCGATCTGCACAGTTAATTCCAAACCAGTCAGGCCTACATAGTGAGATCCTATCTTTAAACAAAGAACTAGAGAAAAACAAAAAGAGGGCTGAACAGATGGCTCAGTGGACAAAGGCACTTGTTATCAAGCCTGATGACCCAAGTTTGATCCCCCAAATCCCCCAAAGTAAACAGTAGACTCCCAATTGTCCTCTGATCGACAGGTGTGTGAGCCTTCACACACAAAAATAAATAAATGTAATAAAAATTTTAAAAAGAAAAAAAAAAAAAACCAACCCTTAACAGGCTGGGCATGGATGGTGCTTATGTTTACATTACCAACAGTAGGAAAGGAAGGCTGGATTGCTCTAAATCTGAGGCCAGACTGGGATACACAGTTTTTTTCAGATCATAACATTCTGAAACAAAAATGCATCTTATCATGGAGACAATTATGTGGTGGTTTCTGATGGCCAAGCACTCAGACCTGTATCCCACCACTTGGAGGCAAAGGAAACACTGTTACATGTCTATGTAGCAAGTTCTAGTCCAACAAGGGCTATGTGGTGAGATTCTGTTTGGAACCAAACAGTTTTCCCTAATATTCTTGATGTAGAAAAATGTGTCAATTGTGAATCACAGAACAATTCAGAGCAATCAGGAATTAACCATGAGGCTTTATAAATATTCTACTCATTTTAACTGGCTTATTTTTTCCCCTTTAAAATATACTCAAGAGTAACACAGTGATGGACTAGAGAGGCACTTCAGTAGACAATGACATCTACAGCCAAGCCTGACAACCATAGTTCAATCCTTGGAAAGATATGGTAGAAAGAAGAGAACCAACTTCTATAAATGATCCCGATTTCCACCTGTGCATCACGACACTCTCACATAACACACAAATAAATGTGATTTTAAAAAGAATATGCTGAAAAAATGTCTACCAACATCTAAAAGACCAGTCATTGGGAAACATGTTTCAAACAAAAAAGTTGGGGAATTCCATTAGAAGAAGCACGTACCAATAAGTACACACAGATTTTAAAACAGACGAGCAATCCTCTCTTTGCTGAAATAACAAGTTTTCTTCCCTAATACAAAATCATATCATTTTTATAGTGACTGAAAACTTTACTTTCAAATTATGTACACAACATTCAAAATTATCTGAATACGTATTAGTAGTTACAAAAAAACCATAAGGTTTTGTATGGTGGCATATGCCTATAATCCTAGAACCTGGGAGATTGTGAGTTGGAGACCGGCATAGGCTATACAACAAGACTCTGTACTCTAAATAAAAGCATTTATTTTCTTTTATAAGGAACATTATTTTATTTATTCATGTATTTAATTATTTTATTCATTCATTTATTTACTTACTTATTTTGGTTTTTCAAGACAGGGTTTTTCTGTGTAGCTTTGGAGCCTGTCCTGGCACTTGCTCTGTGAACCAGGCTGGCTTCAAACTCACAGAGATCTGCCTGTCTCTGCCTACCGAGAGCTGGGATTAAAGGCATGTGCCACCACTGCCTGGCAGAACATTTTTTAATGATTTTTTTTATTTGAATAAGAGTATTTTTGCTTGCATGTATGTATGTATACCACATGTGTGCCTGATACCCACAAAAGCCCAGGATGTCAGAACTCCCATTACCAGAGTTACAGATGGCTGTGAGCCACCATGTGGGTGCTAGGAATGAAACATGGGTCCTCTTACAAGAGCAGCAAATGCTTTTAACTACTGAGCTAGCTCTCCAGCCCTTTACAATAAGCATATTTTTAACAGCATTTTAAACTTCTTAGGTAAACACTCACCTGATCACAGAGCAATAGCTGGTTCCCTCCGTGATACAAAGCATCACAAAGCATGTCCACATCATTGTTCAGTTTGGACAGGAAGAAAAACTGTTCTTGAGTAGATACTGCCAATTGATCTTGTATTTGAGAAAGATCTTGTTTCAATTTCTCAGTCACTTCCTCCAAGTGTTCATGGGTTATAAACAATTCTTTTTTCTTATTGTCTCCTTCTAAAAGTTGATAAAGCCTAAAATATAAAATTAAAGAGAAAAATGTTCATGTTAGCAGTTTTCGAAATTATAACCCACCATATTGGGTCATGAATAGTGATAGCTAAGTAACAACTGAAAAGTAGTAATTTGTGTGTTTCTAATATTGAGCAACTGAAACATCACAAATATAATACTATTTCAGAAGAGAAATACCTGAATTTGAGCATATGATACAACCCTGTCATCCCAGCACTCAGGAAGCTAAGGTAGGTGCATAGGCTCAAGGTTACAGAGCAAATTCAAGGCCAGCAAGATACTATCTCAAAAAGATAAATAATTCTTTAAAAGAAATATCTAAATTTCCAGTGTCTCCATCTTTCCTATTTTAGACACAAACTTCACCTTTATTAGTTTACTTCAAAGCAAGCTTCAGTGATACATCCCAAGAAAACATTTCTTTTATAGAATACATCTATGACATAGCAGCAGCAAAAATGACCAATAAATGCCTATTGGACAAGATTGTGGTGGGATTAAAAGAGAAAAACTAAAAACGTAAATATTGTAAAAGGTAAACAATTAAGAACTATATAAATAGCCATTAACAACAAAATTCCTACTTTAATTTGTTCAGTATTTTGATTGGTAAAAATCCTGATAATTGCTGGGCAGTGGTGGTACATGCCTTTAATACCAGCACTTGGGAGGCAGAGGTGTGTGGATCTTTGTGAGTTCAAGGCCAGACTGGTCTACAGAGCAAGTTCCGGGGCAGGTTCCAAAAAGCTACACAGAAAAACCCTATCTTGAAAAACAAAACAAACAAAACCAAAAACAAAACAAAACAAAAAAAAACCCTGATAATTAATAAGACCATTTCACTTAATGGCAGAAAAATCCATCAGCCTATAAGACAAAAGAAAAATCTAAAGCAACATGTCACACCTGCCTTATAAAAAGACATTTTATCTTTTACTTATACATATACCAACATATAGCTTCCTCTCTTCACACACCCAAATCTTAACAGACTATAAAAGTGGTTGAAATCCAAAGTTGCCAATTACAATCTGGAGAATATAACCACACAATTACACACTAGCACGTTTACACGGACTATGATGTTCATGGTAACCCTAAAATTAAAACAATGAGGCAACCCTAAGTCATTCGTTTTACTAATAAACAAAATGATTTAATGTATATTGTTCTAATCCTGCAGAAAAATGAAGAATAGTATACAAATTATGTGTTTGTGTGTGTGGGTGTCCACGTGTGTGTACATGTGCACAGGGAGACCAGGGGTTGATGTTGGGATTCTTCCTCAAATACTCTGTCTCATTTTTTACCAAAGTCTCTCACAAACCTGAGTTCACTTATTCAGTGAGACTGGCTGGCCAGCAAGCACTAGGGATTCTTTCTCCTCTACCTCTCCAGTGTAGAGATGACAGGAGTGTGCCACTGCACCTGGCTTTTTTATGTAATTTCTGGGATCAAATTCCGGTTAAGTTTGTACACAAGTACTTCAGTGACTGAACTATCTCCCTAGCCCTGTCTCCCTGCCAATCCTTTCTTTCTTTAAAATACAAAGTCTCATTGTGCAACTCAGGCTGCCCTAGAATTCTTGCTATGTAGCCCAAGCTGACCTCAAATTCAAGATTCTCTTGTCCCAGCTTCCAAAAAGTTAAAATTAAGGTATAATCCCATCACTACACAAGATTTAAAACACAAGTGTTTGCTGAACATTCATTTTCTACAGTCCACGATGGCTTCAAACGTACAATCTTTCTACACCAGCCTGTTAGGTACTAGGATTACAGATATGAGTCACTACACCTTACAGAATACAGACTTTTGAAGTCTGTGTTCTTTAGTCTTTTAATTCCAGTATCTTGGTATCATCAATTATTTAGATAACCAGGAAAAGCTAGCTTTCACTTTGAGTGCTCTACCTCACCAGACAGGGAATAAAGTCTTCCGCTCTATTACCACCTTCCCCAAACACAGTCAGTATTGTGCCCAGCAATACCTATGATATAAAGCTGTATTCAAATGTCCTGTCCCAAATCTAAAATAAAATAAATAATGGTGTCTAAGTGGGAGTAAATGTTTTATTAGTTTATTCCTACAACTCATTGACTTCAGCTCTAAAGTGGCTACATTGAGACCTAACATGAACAGAAAGGGAACCAAAATTGTTTAAGATAAAAGAAAAGCAGAAAGTACAATCTAAGTACAAGTAATTTTTTTAAACCTTTAAAAATTTCTGTTCAAATTCTCTAGTCTCTTACACAAATAAAATGATTAAGAAAGCAATGACATATGCATACCTATGAGTAGAATAATCTTTAGTGTTGATGGGAGTCCTGGAGTTTAACTGCTCAGATGCTGACGGATCCGTTAACGTTGCTAATTGCTGACAGAGCACCACGTTTCTTTGACTAAGTTGTTGAACCAAATTTTCAAGTTGCCGATATGTATCCCAATGTTTTCTCAACTCAATTTCATATGATAACTGTACAAGCTCAAATGATGCCTTCTGCTTTATCAACTGATTTAAAACTAACTCTTGTCTTGCTGTATAACAATCTTGTTTAGCAATCTGCAGATCAAAATCTCCCTTTACAACTGGCATGTTCAATAACTGGGCATTCTCTTTTACTACAGCAGGCAAAATTTTGTCTTTCATATGAGTGATTTGTTCTTCAAGTTTTAGAATCTCATGGTTCAAGCTAGAAATTTTAGCATCCAAATTTTCTTTACCAACAGCCTACAAAAAGAAAGTAACATTTTAAACGGTAGGTTTAAATTTTTATTTTAAAATTATTTTCACTTTGTTTTAAGTGGTCAGATAATATGCTCATTGAATAAAAACTAACTTACTAGTATAATCCAAAACTAATTTTAAAAGGGAAGATATTGGACTAAGTCAAGAGAAAAACTTCAGTGCTTTTACATTAAATATGCATGCAGTAATAGCTAACTAGGAGATCTATTATCTTGATCATAACTTTATCGGCATATTAGTCATTGATAGCAAATGAAGATTTTAGTTTTTCTTAAAACTATCTCAATAGGTATTAGTGCATCAGCTGATTACAGCACACACTTCTTTTATTATTTCAAATTTTCGTTTCTTGCAGTAACTAATTTAATGCAGATATTCATTCCGATTCAGAAAAACCTACATTTTTATTCAATTATCTGATGATTATTAAGAAAGCAAGCTTCCAAAGAGTACAGATGAATAACTGTAATATATCTTCACATTCTCAACAAGAGGAATTCATTCCACTGAATCCTGGACTTTTGGCTTCTCGTCAGAGAAATGAGGCAGAACACCCACAATCAAACAAGTAGTCTCTTTGACATATATCATAAATGGAAACCCCAGTTTAATCTATATTTGAAATGACACAAATTTCAAGTTCATAGTGCAAATTAAGGCATTTTTGTTCAGAATTAACCAGGTAGTATGACTGAAGATAAAATTACTAAGTTCTGGCAATATATTACTAAGTTCTGGTGATATGATTAATAATATTTTTGTATGAAATACACACTGTAAATAAATACTGAGAAAACATAAAATTAAATTAAATTTCCCCTTTCTAAAGTAGTAGCAATATTAAACCTTATGTTTCTAACAATTACAATACAAATTCAATCTTATTTCTTATATTTACCTCACTGGTTAGGCTATGAAGATTCTCTTCTGCCCATTTTATACTTGACTTCATGCTCAAATTACTTGCTTTCAGGTATAAGATCTGTTGTTGGGCACAGATGTATGCTACCTGCAGCCTAGCCATCTCCAGTTGTCTCTCCCGAAGGATTTCTTCATTATCACAAATAGATGGTGTTTGTATATCTAAGAGTTGAAAATTTTCTTCATTTGAAGTTTCAACTACTTCATGTATACCCTGAAAGAATTCTTTTTTGGTATATAAGGTTAAGGCTGCTGTGCTTTGCTCCTCTTGGCTTATATATTTTTCCAAGGAAAATTGAGATAAAAATACCATTGGATTTGTTCCTTGACCTAAATTAGAATTTCTGAAGAATATCATCAAACTATTAACTTCATCAGTAAGAACCTGAAGTTCATTATTGAGTTTAGTGTTCACAGCATCTAGGAATCCTTGACTTTGTTTTAGCTTCTTAGTAGCTTCCTCTTGTTTAGCATTTAATGCCAGAGACTTGTAACTAGTTTCAGAAGCCATTAACTGGTATTTATTCCGTCGCTGAATTTTTAAGTTATATAATTTCTGCAGCATTTGAACCTCATCTTCTAATTTCTGTATCTCTTTGTCATCCAGTGTAGGTGTCTTCAAATCAAAAGTTTTACAGGTTCTAAGAACTTCATCCAATGCCGTTCCTTCTAGGATGGGCTTGCCTGATCTTTGAAGAATGCTGAAAGCTTCCAATTCTTTTTCAGACAATACATTCTGTTCATTAACATTTCCACAAAACCATTTCAAAAATGACTGATCTTCACCAGCCTCAAACAGCCAGTCAAAATCTTCTCCATTAAGAGTATCAGCTTTAGGATAACCAATTTTTTTCAATGTTTCCACAAACTCCTTACCACAACTCATGGTTTAACTACCCTACCCCTGTTTCTTATATTTGATATGAATCTATGGTAACTGTCTTTAAGAACTAAGTTCAAACAGAAAAAAACATGTTTACACTAAGTCCATGGAAGAAATGGGGAAATACAATCTATAGTGTCCTTTCCTAGAGGGAAAAAAAAAAGTGTTAGAGTACAAATAAGTCAAATGCACTTTAAATACAGATCATTTTATCAGATGCCATCAGGAAACGATTTAAATGAAAGGCAGATGCAAGTTCGTTATCTGATGAAAACAGAGCAAAACACACTGCAACAGTAATGAAAACCCAATTAGTGAAAATATAACAATAAAAATCTTATTTTTCCAATGACGAAATTATTTAAAATGCACTATATTTTGTAAAATAATAGTTGTTTCCCCGTCGTTTCTAGTTAAGAAATAGAAATATGCCACTTTTTAAAAGATCAACTGAATATTTACATCAATCAGCATTCATCGGGTTCAAACGACTCAATCTCCAGACATAACCGGCCTAATGCAGAGAAAACCAGGGCAAACTGACAAGTTTCAAAGTAGCCAATCATCAAGCAAAAAGTATTATTTTCACCCAGCGCACAGCGATCCAAGACTTCAACCAAACGAAGGTCAGTGGCAATGGTAAACTGTAAAAATCCCGATACATTTGACACTCTGATAGCAAAATCTCTCGGTTAGTTTTTGTTTGTTTCTGGAGTAACCAGTTCCGGCACTTAGGATCCCTAATAAAACATCCACAAAACCACAGAATTGCTGTTTTTAAAATATGCATAAAGGGCCGGGCAGTGGTGGCGCACGCCTTTAATCCGAGCACTCGGGAGGCAGAGGCAGGTGGATGTCTGTGAGTTCGAGGCCAGGCTGGTTTACAGAGTGAGTTCCAGGACAGGTAGGGCTGTTACACTGAGAAACCCTGACTCGAAAAGCAAAACAAGCAAACAAAAAGATGCATAAAGGATAGGGACATATTTTGGGTTTAACGCTTGCCTAGTATGATTGAGGCCTTGGGTTTTATCCGCAGCACTCGGGAAAAAAAAATTTACCAACCCCAGCCGGATGACTGGCCACGCAGCCTCAGTCCCGGCACGAAGCCTCAGTCTCCCGCGCACCTCTATCGGCTATCCGCGCTTCAAGCTGGCTGCAGGAGGGTGGCGGCGGCCCCGCCAACGCCGAACCGGAACCCCTCACCTCCGGCTGCTCCCGCGGGCGCTGTCAGCGACCTCCAACCGCGCGCGTCGCAGTGCCTCACGGGAGTGCCGGGACGAGCGTGCGCAGATAGCAACAGCAGTAATATCTGCGCAGGCGTGGTATCGCGGAGAGGCTGAGGAGGAACAGCTGACCTGCCCCACCCCCTATGCATGGAGCCAAGAGCCCGCTGATTGGCTCTCCTGCTAGACGCTGCCCATTAACTCCGCCCCCAGCCCGCCGTCCTTTCCCGTTAGGCTCAAGCGGAGCGGTTTCCTCGCTGAAGACTCCGCCCTCTCCCCGCCCCGCCCTGGAGTTGATGTTTGGGGTTCTTTGGGCTGAGCGCTGCACAGCGAACCAGGCTTCTCTCGTTCAGTTAGGCCTCCTAGGCTAAGGATAGCTCTTAATCTTCGACACCTCTAGGGATCAGAAGCCCGAGGCCGAAAGACCCCTCCCCGCGGCACGGTGACCTAACGGGGTGCTAGCAACAGATCTCTTGCTGTGCAGGATTATTGGCTATAGATTCTTTTACAGTAGTTGTTTAGCAAAAGTTCTTAACTCCCAAGGCCTAGCTGACTTCCTCCACGATCCCATCTTCAAAATGTCAAACTGGAAAGCACGTAAGTTTGGAGTGCTGTGGAAGGAATGCATTCTACTCGAAAGTACAGACATTCTGAGGCTGCCAGGATAGCCACAGTCTTTCGATGGAAGGCAGAAAGCTGAAATATGGCTAAGTGAAGCAAGCCTGATGGCTTATGGTCCCAGAAAACTGCCCTTTGGCATTGGTAACAACGTGTTTGTATGGGACGGCATTTGTTCGTTTTTTTACCAAACTGCATTTGCAATTTACCAATCTCTTGTAAGATGACATATAAATTTGCAAGGTGTAAGCTTTGATCATTAGAAAACAGTACTCCCCTCCTCCGGTCACAAATGAGGTGGTTTATCAAAGTTCTAGGCTAGCTGTTACTAGGTAGAATTCTTTCTGCATTGCCCCCCCTCCCCTGGAAACTTATCTGTTAAGAGTTATTTATTTATTTATTTATTTATTTGAATAATGTTATGAGTGCTCTGTTTGCATGCATGCATGCCTTTATATCAGAAGAGGGCATCCTGTCATAGCTAGGGATTGATCTCAGGACCTCTGCAAGAGCACACAGTGCTCTTAACCGCTGAGCCAACTCTCCAGCTCCCTGCTTGTTTGGTTTTTAAGACAAGGATTTCTGCATGGCCCAGACTGGGCTTCAATTCAAGATCCTCTTACTTTAGAATCCCCAAGTGCTGGGGTTATAGGTGTGAATTACGCTGCCCAGCTCTTAATGTTTTTAAGAGAGAAAAACTAACAATCTAGCAGATAATTAATTAGAGTTAAAGACATTTACTATTAATTCTTGTTTCACTTTTTAATCTTCCTTTTGAAAGCCAATAAAATCTAGGAGTAAATAAAATCAAACATTACTGGGGGAAAGTTCTCAGGATGGTGCCTAATCTGGAGTTAGGAAATCAGGGAACAGGCCCAGAAGGACCCCTGGTGTCAAGCTGGAGGTAGGGGCTCAGCAGGGAGCTGGTGTTGAGTGGGTTTTGGCCAGAGGAAGTGCAGGCAGTGCTTTTGGAAAATTTTGCTGAGGAGGCAAAGACCGAGAGAGAAAGAGCCAAATGACACAAGATGAGGGGGTGGGAATGCAGGGCTGAGAGGGTTTTTTGGTTTTGTTTTGTTTTAAAATGGGAGGAACTTGGAGTTATTTATAGATTGTGAGGAAGAACTCAGAGGAGACAAAATTAAAGATGGCAGAAAGACAAAAGGCTACTTCGCTCGGGATGAGGTCCCCCCAGAGCAGGAGGCACAACCCGGAACCCTGGAGACCTTCCAGGAAACCCACTTTTCTTAGTGACTTCTGGGCAGTTCCGGCCCCCAACTCTCCATTTTGAGTTACTTATCACAGCTATTTGTTTGAAAGGTGTTTATGAGGCCATAAGAAGTCATAATAATATAGAGATTAGAACAGGACCGGGACCCTGAGTACAAACGACAAACAAAACGGGGTTAATTATACAGCTCTGGGAAGTATTCCGGGAATTGGATTGGAAATTTAAGAAGGCAAATATGTTAAACTTATTTCCAAGACAAGCTTGTTTTCTACTCAAAATCAGTTGTGGTTTTAATGGGGTCAAAAGGTAAGGGAAGCCAGGAGCTGATCTCGCCTAAGCAAGCCTGTGAGAATGTCACGGGTGAAACAAACCTAACTGCAGCGCCGGGAGGGACAGTCTTTGCTGCTTGTCTTTTCTACTTCTTGGCTGAAGTTTTACTCTCCTGTCATCAATATTTAAAAAGTAGTGTATGCTTTAGATAGTATATTTTCAGGCAGTTTTAAAACTTCATATACAACTGTGATGTTAAAGGTTGATTTCGGATGCAGTTTAATGGAAGTGAAGAGACCTATTCTCCAAACAACATGGAGATGGGGCTGTTTGGAAGCAAGGGAGTTACCGCCTCAGACATGTATTAGCTTGATTCTACTTTTTTTTTTTTCAAATACAAAAGGTCTGAGAAAGCTGGCACTGGACAACTCAGGAATGGGTAAAGGCAAGGGAACCCCAGGAGCTGGCAGAACCCTGGGGGCTGTCAGCCAATGAGATGTGGCCTGGCAGCTTCTTCCTATTGGTCTTGTTCTTCCAGAAGAAAGCTGACTTTCCGTAGACCGTGGAGTCAGGAAGGGGAGATTGCTTCTCATTGTGTTTACACTCATGTGAGAAAGGTGAAAACTCAGTACCAAACTGAGGAGCATTTGAGTCAGCACCACCAGGAAGGGGTCGCCATGGTGGTGGGTAGGGGCAGGCACCTTTGAAGCTGGAAGCTGATAACAAGAGGCCTGGTGGAGTTTGGGGGCCAGAGCAGTCCGGGACCTTAGGTAGGCTGAGAGGCTCATATCTGTTGAGGAAGACTGGTTGACAGCCACTGCAGCTCCCCTCCCAGGCCAGTGGTATAACTGGAAAAATCCAGAGCTCTGTGCTCCAGCTGTCTAGCTCAAGGCTGGAAAAAGAAGCTATGCAATGTCCCGCTAGCGAGTAGTCTATGAGTCCACCACCTAATTTATGCGGCCAGAATCTCAGCAACAATGTGACAGATAGGGACAAAGGACTCAGGGCTCACTTGCAGAGGAGACTGGGCTTGAACTAACCATGAGATCCAAAATGAGATGGTAAGGACAAAGGGCTAAGTTGAAGGTAGGCTGGGCTGAGGGAAAGGGTGGGAGCTAGCAGGCATTTAATTCTAGGGATGAAGGGAGGGAAGAACAGCAGGGCCATCTTAGAGTCACTCTGACTGCCAAGAAGGAAAGTGGGCAAGTGTTCAGATTCTTGCAGGGGTCTCATATGGGGGCAAGCATGAAGATATATAGGGATGGTCCTGGTGAGGTGTCTGCTGGGATTGGGTATGCCAGAAAGCTATGGGAGGAGCCTTCATCTCCTGGGAGACTGACCCAGCACGACTCTAGCAGGTGCTAATCATAGCAGGTGCTAATCATGCTAAGTATTTAGCACAGACCCTGGCGCCCACTGTCCCCAATAGAAAGTGGTAGTGGGGTAGGCTCAAAAATCACAGTATTTGGGATTTAAATGTCCACATCAACATAAACATCCAAATTGTACCAATTCTGGGGTCCCAATTGTGTTCACATGAGAAAACACCTTTTCTGAGTAACCTTCAACTGTCTCAAAGACTGCCCAGTCCCACTCCTTCCCAACAGAAGGCAGGGTGCACATATTCAAGAATCCAGAGCCCATTGTTGCCTGCTGGGAGGACTGATACCTCCCCAAGATTCATGGCTCCACCCTAAAACTTTCTAGCAGGTACCACTAGGCCATCCCCAATGTGTTCTACAGAGGGTTCAGTGTGGTGACATCTTGCTCTCTGGAAGTCCTGATCCATTCCCTCTATGGTGTTCAAGATGGCAAATCCTTGAAGGAGGGAGGACAGCTGAGTCCCCAAAGACAAGGGCCAGGATTCCTGTGAATGGGCTGAAGCCTCCCTATAGGAGGCAGACTGTCAGGGACATTGTCCTGTTTCCCCATCCTGTGTGTTCTAACAACCTCCCAGCTGCTTCTGTGAGGGCAGTTCAGAAGCCTTAGTCTGCATGCTAGCACCGAGCACAGCTCTGGCCACACTTCCACCTCAGCACAGTAGGGACTGAGGGCAGAAGCTATGCCCGAGTCACTGTGAGGATAGTGGGATGGGCCCAGGGATTGGTCCTTGAAGGTGTAGCCGGAGGGAGACCCAACAACTTCCCTGCAGAGGGCACCTCATCAGCATAGCACCCATAAGGATTGAACTGTCTTTGGACCCACAGTGTCCTAGTCCACAAAAGGGTAAAACTACAAGACCAGCAACAAGAACACCTGGCACAGAGTAGGGTGTGTGGTCCTTCTACCCAGGTCTTCACGGAGAGGCTGGTGGACTTATGGATCTGGCCAGGAAACAGCAGATGTGAAAGCCGGTTCCCAAAGGCCAGGATAAGCCAAGCTCCAGTGAGTCAGGCCCTCTAGCTGAAGCTGGAGGGAAAGAAGAAAAGCAAGGAGACAGAAAGAACTAGAAACCAGATGAGGTATAAAAATCTGTATTTATATTACAATGACAGAATGACACAGCACAGCCCCATCTGTTAGACAGCTGGGATGGGGGTCCCATTCCACTTCGCAGCTCAGGTCTCATAACTCACCCACTGCACTGGCACCAGGCCCCCTGTGTAGTCACATACTCTGGCACGGAACCTGCCCTAGTGCCCTAGTTTAGAGGCCTGAGCTAACTTGCTTGCTGGCCTGGGGTCGAGACCCTCTGTGCAGACACAAGAGGTGGTAGGCTAACTGACCCAACAGAGGCAGGAAAGGCTTGGGCACACAGAAGGGTAGGGGTTGTCCAGCCACAGTTTGGTGCACAACTCCCTCTGCCTAGGAAGGCAGGCTCAAGCACCTGCAGGACAGGACTGCAGAGGCAGGCCTAGGGCCTATAAAGAGACATAACCTCTGTCTCCTCTCCTGCTAGACCAGCTGGGCCTGCAACAGGATGGTTGATCTGGTACATCTGGACCACCTCCCAGTAAGGGGACCCAGGCCCGAGCCTGGAGGTCCAGACTCTGTTACAGAGCACCACATGGCTCGCATAGTCAGGTGCAGGTGGAGGACATGAGCAGCAGCTATTTTGGTCCAGATTTCTTTCAGCAGACACACAATAGCCTTGGCTGAATCCTATGACCACTAGCAGTGGCCATACTGTGCAAACGGTAGAGAGCAGGAGAAGGAGTAATGGATATATAACTCTTAGCACCAGCCCCCATGCCTATGGACCACCCCTCACATGTCTGCTAGTAGGAGGGGCAGCTGGCTAGCACCCCTGGGTGACTGAGAAGGCCAACTCCCAGGCTACATAAGAACCATAGCCTGAAAAGGCAAAGGGCTGAGCTGCCATAAAATTCAGCCAAGGGGGCCAGTCTGGTCACCAGGAGTGGACTCTGCTGGCAAGGGTGGAAGCAGACTCTAAGGTGCTGGAGACGGAGAAGGGAGTTGATGATAGAAGAATTCATGGCACATCAGGAGCCCTGAATCAAGAGCTTTAAACATAGCTCTGCTCTGTTCTGTGCTAATGGTGGGCGTGCTCAAAACAAGTGCCCAGGAGACATGCTTGGGTAGACACTGATGCCCAGTGGGCTGGAAATGTCGACAGGACCAGCTTACTAAGATGTGGATGTGGGCTATCCTTCTAGTCCATGGACCCTACCCAGGCCTGCTACCCACATGTCATCGTGAGTACCCATCAGGGAACCAGCTTACTAAGATGTTGGCTATCCTTCTAGTCCATGGATTCCTACCCAGGCCTGCTCTCCACCTGTCGTCTTGACTACCCCTGGGGCAGGCTCTATGCCAGAGCTGTTTCCAGGAACTCCATTCTGCCTATCAGTAGGTCACCCACCCTAGGATGCTCGATGGCATGACTGAAGATAAACAAGGAATTTTCCCCACAGTTTGGAAATTGTTTACGAATGCACCAGAGGAGGTGGCAGGCACCGCTGTGGGCCAGCACATGGCCACGACCCAAATATTGCTATGTGGTGTCCCTTAGAGCACTTCTAGCACTGAAAGGCCAACGGAAGCCTCCTAGCCAGGTCTGCACTACCTCCAGAAGAACTGTTTGTCAGCTGCCCATGGCTGACGCTCCCGGTCCTTGCCAAGGCCAGAGAAAAGGCCCCAGGCCAGCAGGCCTGCTGTCCCCAAACTTTCAGGCACAGCCACCCTGCCAGTTACCAGGGAGGCACCACTGGAGGCCAGGTCATGACCCTGCAGGATACAAAAATCAGCCACAGGAGCCACACAGGCACGCATATGTCCCTCCCAGGAGGCTGCCGCTGTGGGAAAGCAGTGAGGGGGCACCTGCCAGTAGGCCTGGTGCATCCCATAAGCCACAGGAACATGCTGGTGGCAGTGGGTGGGGTGAAACGGGACACAAGGCACACTATGACGATATGACAGAGGATGGGTCCCTGAGACGCTGGGTCGCTCCCACCCCTCAGCAAACAAGGACACAACAATGGCTAGGAAAATAGAGTACAAAAATCTCATACAGGAAATAGAGGCGGCACACACTCATGTCCCTTGGCGAGTCTTCAGAGCTTTTTTTCTCTTTTTAAAAATGTTTCTGTTTTGTGTTTTGGGTAAAGCCTCTGCCAGCTGAGGCTGCCCTGGGCAGGACTTGTGAGGCCCCTTCTGGGAGCTCCCTGTCAAACTTTTTTTCTTTTTTCTTTTCTTAAGAAAGGGAGATGAGAAAGTTTGGAGGACCCAGTGGTTTCAGCTTGCCACCCTGCTTATTCCAGTCCCCTGCCAGGAAGAAAGGCCCTATCTATTTCCTGTGCAAACTAGACAGAGACGTTTGGGCTGGCACAGGTGAGCAGGGGCCTGAGTGAGAGTCAAGCACAGGCTTGGGGGCCATCATTTCCAAGTGACCTCAGGCCAACTATCTCAGGACATACATTCTCTGATGTCCATGTGTCTGTGTGTATGTGATTGTGGGTGTGAGCCTAGGCGTGTGTGTATACATCTGATGGTCCTAATAGAGCATAAGCCACCCAAGTTGGTATGAAGTGGTCCAGCCAGACCCCCAAGAGCATCCCCCTGGCTCCTGACACCAAGGAAAAGGATCCCACCCACCTGCTCCAAATGCTCACCCAAACCCTGCCCTTCACAAATCCCTCTGTCCACACCTCAGGAGCCTGTGTGGACCAACAGGTAGATGGACAGATGAATGGATGGACAGCTGCGCCCGCCTGCCTTCCATTCTTTCTTCCTTTCCTTCCTTCTCAGTTCACTCCTCTCTCCTGGGATCCGATGCTGGGGTTCAAGCTCCCCATGGTGGTCATTAAGGCCCCTACACGGATCCTGCCGAGATTTGCAGCAATGATATTTAATACTTCTGGAATGATTAGGAATCTGAGAACAGATTGTGGGCGACTATGCTGGGCTCCAGATGTGAGAGCCTCACCCAACTTCCCTGCTTGGGCTCTTGCCCTGCGGGAAGGGGCAGGCAGTTTGAGTCCTGACCAAAGGGTGGGCAGGCAGAGGCGGGCAGACCAGGCAGCAGCTGGAGCTTCGAGAATGGCACAGCAGTAGGCTCATGACGAGGCTGGCTTCAGTTAAGGGAGGCAGGAAGGCTGAGACACTTGGCTAGGTGGGCAGGCAGGTGGGCCAAGAAGCAAAGGACATGGAGCCTACGAAAGGCCAGGGCATCCAGGCCTCCTGCAAGGGTGCCCATAGCTGCTGTCGCTGCAGCCACTGCTCTGTAGGCTGTAGTGGTCATCGGCATCACTGCTGCTGCCAACACTGTCCAGCTCCCCAGGGCCAAATTCCATGCCCTCTATATCTACCTCTGAGAGAACAGAGAGAGGATGGGTCAGGGTGGCCCCTTCCAAAGAAGCCAGACTGGGGCTCCCTTCCAAGTTAGAGCTCATGTTTCCCTTTTATGGAAGTGGAGGCTGGGGCTGGGGAAAGATAAGGGAGGTCCTCTGAACCCTGAGGTGGAAGATGCTAGGATGGCTCCAGCCAAAGTCTTGGGTTATGAACCCAGACTCTGCAGCATGCTGACCAGAGGTGAATCAGCTTCTGCCTTCACATAGTTAGGTCATGACCTCTGTGCCTCATTGTCTTCTTCCCACCCCTTCTTCATGCAAGGCTGGGAAATTATCGTAGTACTGCCAGCAGTTAGTTCAGGTGGTGTGCGCACCTTGTCACCACCAACATCACTCTCTCCCTAGGTGCTTCCTTGTCCCCCTGGAACTTTGGTGATACCCATACCCAGAGGCCAGGGTTGGGCTGTCCGAGCTCCTACCTTGTATGCCTAGGCACTCACCTTGCTCTGAGTCGTCCGTGGACACAGCAGAACCAGTGCTGTCTGTGCGCACACGCTCTACACTCTGCACTGATAGTTGCTCTAGGCGTCGCTTGAGGAAGCGATGCTCCCGCTGTAGCTGCTCCTTGATGCTTAGTGCCCTGCGGTCCTGCTCCTCCAGTTTCTAGGGATAGAGGGTAGTCTGTGAGTCCATAGCCAAGATGGAATAACTGCCCTTGGGTATAAATACAGCTTTACAGGCATGATCCTTACCAATAAAATGACTTGCTAGACAGAACCACAGATGCCCAAAGGCTTAATATGCCCTTCCTCACCCCAGCAAGGTGACTACTCAGCCTGGCCTTTCACTCTTAGCCTGTTAACTAGCTGTAGAATGCCCAGTGCTGCTGGCCAGCCCCAGGAAGTGGAGACATGTGTGGGTCTCAAGACCTGGTACAGTGCCATCCAAACTTTGGCAGGCCCCTCCCTCCAACCCTACTCATGAGAGCTCCACCTGCCCAAGACTGGGCTTTCACTGGGTATCTGCAGCATCTGAGCATGTAAGAGCAGTGGGGAAATGGTACAGAGGATGCCTGCAAGCAGGCCTTGTGTATCTCTAAGGCACAGACCTTCCTACCTTTGTAAACCTTCCTGTGTGGGGCCCACCTGAGACACTGCTGTTCTGTTAAAACCCCAGGGCCTTGGACATAACTTTCAAAGTTACTGACGCCTGACCTGTGAGTCCACACCTATAAAGCAGAGGAGCCCTTTTGACAGGAAAGACCTACCCTGGTTGACCCAAATGTCCCAAGAACACTAAATAAGCAACCGTCAGTCTGAAGGCCTTAGGAGACTGTGTCAGGTATATCCCCCTTATCCTAGTCCCACACCAACTCCCAAGTCTCTACCACTCTTCCCACCTCCCTGTAGATGTTGTCTACTCCCAGTCTGACCATGAAGGCATACAATGGCGCTTTGCCCCTCTCTTAACTCCACCTCTCCTTCCAGCTGCTGCCCTTTCACAATCCAGTGTTACAGAGAACTATCTATAACACTGAAACAGCCTGAGACCTGACCTGTACAGCCAACCATAC